TGGTCAAGCAAGACCTACCTCCAACAAACCCATGCTGGGTATCCCTCAGGATATTGCCTTCAGCTAGTCTGTTAAGGATGGCCTCTTTGTTAATCTTTTCCAAGGCCTTCCCCAGGATAGAGGTCAGGCTGATGGGCCTGTAGTTTGCCGGATCCACTTTCCTCCCTTTCTTGAAGATAGACACCACATTGGCCTTCTTCCAGTCTTCAGGCACTTCACCAGAGCACCAGGAGTTCTTGAAGATCTGTACCAGGGGCTGGGCTATGATGCTTGCCAGCTTCTTGAGTACCCTGGGGTGTAGATTGTCAGGGCCAGCTGACTTGAAGGTGTCCAGCCTATTAAGGTGTTCCTTCATGAGGGCAGCATTGATGGAGGGCAGGGAATCTCCCTCACCCAGGCCTCCCTCACTCAGGCCCCACTGTCCCATAATGGGTAGGGGCATCCAGTGGGACTGATGAAAGACCAACACAAAGTACCCATTTAATAGCTTGGCTTTTCCTGGGTGTCAGTGTCAGTTGTCTCATCTGGTTTATCAGGGGTCCAATGTTACCCTTGCTTTTCCTTTGGCTACCCACATATCTAAAAAAGGTCTTTTTATTATCCTTGATACTTGTACCTAGCTGGAGTTCCATAGCAGCCTTGGCTTTCCTGATTTGCTCCCTGCAGGACTGGACCAGTGCAGAATATTCCTCCTTGGAGGTGGAACCCATCCTTCATCCTTTTTAGGCCTTTCTTTTTAGCCGCAGGAGGTCCACTAGTTCCCTGGAGAGCTAAGGGGGCTGCTGTGCCCTTTTGCTGCCTTTCCTCTGAGATGGAATAGCATTAGCTTGTGCATCGAGGATGCCTCCTCAGCTTGTCAAAGTCAGCTTTCCTGAAGTCAAGGACTCCAGTGTTGCTGACTGACTTGCCAGCTTTATGGCTTTATGGCAGATGGTGAAGGTGATCAGCTCATGGTCGTTGTCACCCAGCTTCCCGTTGATCTTTAGGTCACTGATTAGGTCGTTGCCAGTACCAGGTCAAGAAGCGCTTTACCTCTTGTTGGCCCATAGACCTCTTGTGTCAGATAGAGATCATCCACACAGGAGAGGAAGCTTTGGGACTGCTTGGATTTAGCCAAGCGCTCTTCCCATGAGATGTCTGGGTAGTTGAAGTCTCCCATAACAACCATGCACCTGGAGCATGCGGCC